AAAAGGATGCAGAATAAATACCAGCATGGCTCTTGAAAGCTTTCATAGAATATGAACATATTTTTATGGTAAAAATGGTAAAGAAAAAGTCTTGCTGTACTATTAAATGTATTTTTTGTAACATTTGCTTACATTCATTTACCTGTAGTTGTGTTATTTAATGAGGAATACAGTTTATAAACATGTTCATTTTGTTGGCCTGCGGGAGATATCACAATGCCCGGGTTTCTTAAAGTTAAATAATTAATGTTTTAGGTCGGAAAATATGCGTCAAATGCTCAGTTATAATTCGAATCAAAGTGATTAAACGTTCATTAAAAGGATAAAATTGAATCTAGTTTTGTTCTGGTTTGTTCAAGTAAAGAACTTGGCATTTCTTATAGTTCAGCAAACAATCATCAGTAATTTAAAATTAGATACTATTTATCATTGAATATGTAATGCATGCAGATATTTTGAAATATGTATTTCGGTTAGTTAAGGTGAAAGGTACTTAAGTTTGTTATATGGAGCAATATTAAATAACTACAGACATATGGTATTCGTTTTATATCTTAATGTTATATAGGCAAGTGCGAGGTGAGGTAGATATAAGAGCAGAAAAATAATAAATTTATTTGCAACATTCTCGTTTTTATTGTTTATCCCTCCATTCCATTTTACACTTTGCCGGTTAACAGGGTCTAGTTCAGAATGTTAATTCTCTCAGAGTCTGAGGTGTATCTGATTTAGGTTTTACACACTTGCTCTCTGAATTAAGTTCTCACTAACTCTTTACAATGGTGGTAGAAGTTAATATCTACGTTATATTCATATTACTATCTGTATCACTTTTAAAGACTGCAATATAAATAGCATTTGATAATTGATAGGAGATAAATTACGTTATCACTAAAAAGAAATACATATTCACCTAACTCCAATAAGACAAATACGCCATGCTTTACTATTACATTTTAAGAAAATATATACAATTCGTTCTAATGATATATATAAGTATTATCACAATAGAAATTATTACTTGAAATAATATACAGCAACATTGCAAGTATACTATACTTTAGTTTCAGTGGCAACAGGGCATTAGAAGTATGCTTGCGCCTAACTTCACTCCCCCGCATGAAATAGACAGACTCACGCAAGCGCATAAATAACGGCTCAGTTCGTGTTTGATCCACTCCTTAGGGGGTATGTTCTGTGGCATTCATTGTATCATGCATACAGAGACAAGCACTTGTCTCTGATGCATATAAGCATTGTTCTATGGTATCATGGTAAATAGTAGCAACAGTTCCACAGGTCTGTATCAGTCTTTATATATGGGTTAGTTGATGCATAGACAAATACTGGTCTTTGGTTCATATCTTTATTTATGGTTTATAGCACAAGTTCAAAGGTTAGAAACAGGCAGTGTGTGTTGTGGTCATGGCATTCCAAGGCGGTTCCAATTATACCAGCACAATTGTGATTTAGTTTGGATTAGTATTTGTTTTTGCGTGTTTAGTTAGTTATTGTTTTTCTGTCCCATGTTGCAGTGTAGGTGCAACAGAGTGATAATACACCCAAGTGGTGCTCTTGTACTTTATGCATGTTTATGTCAAGTCACACATTTTTGAAATTTGCTATACTAAAACCACTTATTCGTGCACGAAAATGAGACTGTCCGGTGCTATTTGCTGCTATGTAGCATGGCGGATTGTTTCTTTCGGGAATGAGAACACAAGGAGGTATTAGCAAGGATTTTTTCTTTCGGTTAATTTTGTTGTTAGTTTGTGTCGGCATGGTTGAAGTGATTTTTAAAATAAAACTAAAAAATAATTACAAAAAATAAAAGTTAATAATCCGAAAATACCTAAATAATCTAAACCGGCCCATAATGTTTTGCGCAGTTTGCGTTTTGCGCAGGCAAAGCCACAAACTTTGTGAGTGTTTTTTAGCTTAATGTGTTCATCCACAGCCTTATGGCTTGTCAAGGTTAAAGATTAATCTTTATAGATTTGCAAAATTTTGGAACTTACTTTTAAACCTCCCGATTGATTGTAGCACACGTGTTCTTGTTTTGAGCCTTCTTTTAAATTTTAATTTAAAGCGGGAGAATTTTAAATCTCGCGTGAAATTAGTGAGATTATTTCTCGAATTAAATATTTTTTTTTTACAGCGGACAGTGAAATTTACTATGATTCCATTACAACGTGGAGTTATCGCTGTAAGTTTTTTTGAAAATGTTTCGAACTACTTATTAATACCTTTTTATCCCTATAGCATTAGTATGGGTGATTGAAATAATCGCTGTAAGTATTTTTCAAAATTATTCAATTACCGCTTATTAATTAAAACTTTTTTCGTAGTAGAACGTTGTCAAATGTCAATAAACACGACAATAAAGTCGTCTGCCAATTTGATGAAAAATCGAGCGGCAACGTAGATAGTTAACCTCAATTAAGGGACGCCACAAAAAAACATAAAAAAATGCTCTTAAAGTTAAACTTATAAGCCTTGATTGTTGGGCATTATTCAAAGATGCTTCAGAGATGCCCTTTTCGAAAAAGGAGCTGGAACAGAAAGTGGTTGCATGTACAACCATGGATTACCTAGTGATATGCAAAGAGGGCTGGACTTCAAGCAATAATAGTCTTTTTACATTCTTCAGCATGGTACTGAACTTCCGGAAAGCTGCATGATAGAAAGGTAAGCGATTATCTAATATGTGCGCTATATTAGACTATAAAGGCTATTACGGCCGGTCAAAAATGTTTTCCGGACTTTGAAGCCGTTTAAGCTTTGATAATGTCCACAGCAGTTGTGGTCGAAACGTCAGGAAGAAATTCCCATGGACCACGGCTTCAAAGCCCGGAAAACAATTGTATAATAATTCGATAATAGACGAGATTTTGTTTATGAAATAATGTAATATTTATGTTCCGTGCATGCCATTAATTGCCACCACAATGCCATTAATTGCCATTAGACGAATGTGCCCAACTAAACCCTTCATGAAGTGCAAATTCCATAAGAACTAAATCATTAAATACTTTAATTTTGTAGATTGTTTCAGTGGATTTGTGCTGCAATTCATAGGCGATCAAACGCCAATTATCCGAGATAATTTTGGAACTGACTAGAAATGGCAAGCAGAAAATCATCAATTCACTGCCTACAAAGGCATTTTTATTTATTTTATTATTGTCTACAAAGACATTAGTAACCACGCGGCAAAGCTTTGCATGCTTTACGTCACCCTTAAAACGTTGAGCAGTTTTTATTTTCCATTAATAGCCACACCACAGGTAAAATTAACAAAAATAACTTTTTTTTATTAAGTATTAATTTGACATGAGGTGGGAACGAGCCTCAATGTACAAGCCTTCATTCCACATCCGCCCCTGGATGGTGGAATTTAATTGGTCTATAGTTGTGATTAATTATTATGATATTCCTATCTTTCCTGTGTTTTAGTCAAAGTGTGAAGTAAACATTTTGAAACATCAACATTATTTCATTACGTTTCGGCGAGACAACAGCGCCATTATCAGATTTAAAATTTTACACAAACTATTGGGATTAATACACTTTACCGTTTTAAGTGGTGTGAATTTGGATAGACTCTAAACTAGAAGCCTTTCTTTTACGCATAGTAGGAATAACCGTCAATAAAAAGGGCTTCACGCTACGTGTAAATTTAAGGGTTTTTATTCAGACTTGTTTTAGGCCAGGAGGGTTACTGATTACGAAATATTTTAAATGAGGCTCTAACGTGACGTAATTTAGATAACTATTGGAATCGCTAGGGAATGGTATATCTATTGAAAATATGGAGGTGCGCCAGCTTGAAAAGGTGCTATTTGCATAAACCATGAAAAATGCCAAAATCGCTCGGAAACCATTGCGCATAAGCATACATGAATGCAAAAATACAAAAATGCTTCAAAGTAGTAGAAACACCTATACGTGCGTATATCCAGATATGAGTTTTTAGGTTAGTGTTGACACAAAAACATTTATATTGAGTCTCCTCGTAATGCAGATGATTAGAAGAGTAGGTTACACTGTTAAAATCGTTGAATAACAGGAAGAAAACATTGTTAAATGAAAACAACTACTTTAAACATTAACTTCTTATTTTTGATTTTGATCTTATTTTTTATTTATTGATTATTTTACATCGTCAAAAATAACTTTTTATTGGTGAACGAGAAATTTCTACAATAAAACCTGTATCTACTTACTCAGTATCTTATTAAATTGTTTAAAATGTTGTCAGTTTGCTGCAAACAATAATAAAGTCTGTTTCCCAACTCCGCCCTCACTTTTTGTAACACTTCACCGGGAATTGACCAGCATTTTGCTGCAATTCGTCTTTCCAGATATCAGTAGGTTGTGTTTTATAAAGAATGAACTTAAGATGACCCCAAAGAAAGAAGTTTAAGGGTGTTCAATCCGGTGATTTTGGAGGCCATTCAGTTTATCCCCTTCTGCCAATCGATCTATCCGGGAATATCTTATCAATGCGGAGGGTTCGAAAATAGACTTTATTATTGTTTAGAGGAAAACAGACAACATTTTGAACAACTTATAAGATGTGATAATGTGTACGTGGATCCCATGGGTTTATTGTAGAAATTTCTCTCGTAAATAAAAAGTTATTTTTCTCGAAGTAAAATAATCAATAAATCAGAAATCAATTGTTTAAAGTTTTAATAACTTTTTGAGCAGTTTTGAATTGAATTTGAAATTTTGGCTTTTAAATAAATAAATGAATTTTGATTATAAATAAATATTTTATTATAAATATTTTACGATTATTTATAACTTATCTCCTATTAATCAATGTGCTATACATGTATGCATAAAATTACTTTATCACATTACGCATTTGTTCTTCAATTTAATAGTAATTTACAAAGAACAAGATAAGCCCAATAAGGACATTATGATTAGCACTAATTTTTAGCAACATTTAAAAATGTTTAATTATGAAAATCGACCACCGATAGTTTATTTTTAAAAATTGATAAATGTAACTATGAAAACTAAAATTTTCTCGGTTTTCTATTATGGCGTTATGGCGTGATTGGGTAATTTTTTTCTTGTTAAATAAATAATTTAAACTTGCCAATTTTTTTGCACTTTATAGCGTTTTGCAGCGAATATTTCAAATCTACTGATATCGGACGCAACTTTATCTTATAGGAAATTTCAAATCAAACAAATTTACAAATTACTTGCATATTTACCGGGTTATATGCGATTGTTTTCGGGGAAAGGCGTGATTTTCGCATTTTTTCATTTTTATTTTTTTTTATTTTTTATTTCATTTTATGCAAATAGCACAACTTTTCAACCTGGCACACCTTTATATTTTCAATAGGTCTTCCATTCCCGAGCGATGCCAATAGTTATCTAAGCTACGTCACGTTAGAGCCACATTTAAAACGTTTTTAAACTTGTCTTCATTCTTTTAATTTTTATCATCATCTGCATGCCTATTCTAGATGTCAGTAAGAGAAAAAAACATGATGGGTAATAAAAGTATTTCTTTTACTTTTTTAGAATTTTTTAATCTTGTGAATTTGGTACAAATCCATCTAGTGGTTCTTTCATAATACGCTTTTAAAGAAACTTTGGGAACAATTTCGCCCATTTTCGTTTTTGCAGCATGCTCTTCGAGATTAGGTGTTTCTGAACAACCACTCCAAGTTAAGGCGTATAAAGACTCCACATACTTTAACTTTAACCGAGTATGGTTGTTTAGAAATATGCTTGATGTAAAAATAAGATTTTATATTATATTAAGCAGTTTCAAAGAGAAAAAGTATTTGATGGTCTTAAATTCAGCAAAAACACTAACAAAGTTTCAGCAAAATCGTCATTTTTATGCTAAATTTTGCGTGGTGTTGCCAAACTGCAGAACACGTTTTAAGCTACTGGAAATTGTTTTCTTGAATCCTCAGCTTGTAGATTCATTCAGTTTCGGTCGGTTTGGGTTATTTAGGTCTTAATTAATTTTTACTTTTTTTATACATTTTTAGTTTCATTTAAAAAATCACTCCAACCATGCTAACATAAACCAAACTAATTCTTAATTAAACCGAAGTAAAACAATTAAAAAATATTTAATTACACACCACGAAGTGTCTTTGTTACTCTAACAGCTATATTAGTGGATGAGTATTTCCTATGGGAAAAAGTATTAATAAATTAGCGAAGGAGACATGGGCGACGTTATTATGAATCTTATCTACAATTTTGCACAATAATTGAGTTTTCCGCAAAAGTTTGAGCATCTTTTCTAGTGTCGCCCATTGACTAATGTTTTCTAGCGCATATTTCATCCAAATATTTTTGAGTCGTTTTTCTTTGACTTAATTTGGTTTGTGTTAGCTTGGTTAAAGTAATTTTTTCATGAAACTAAAAAAAAAATATACAAAAATTGAACATTAATTAAAACCTAAATAACTAATCTACAAGCTAGGGATTCAAGGAAGCAATGAAAATTGTTTTGAACCTTAAAAAGTTTTGTGCAGTTTTTGTCAAGTTTTGAACGTGCAATATTTGTCATCATTGAGGTTGCTTAAAGATAGTGTCCTTTTAAGTAAAAGACCAAAAAGTAAAAAAATTTAAACAGACAAGTTCAGCTCACTCTTCTTCATCAAGTTGTACCATTGTAACCATTGATTTAGAGTTGAAAGTAAGAATTTGTAGTGCGTTCTTTTAAGAGTCTTCAAGGTTTCCCTAGAAGGTGAGTTTAAAAAGCATGTGGTTTTGTAATAAAATGATCGTTGTAGCTCAAAAGAGTCCTGAGGTATCAGGGAAAAAGCGGTGTCATGTTTGAGCGCCTAGTTTCAATATCAAATCCTTCCATCTATTCGGATATTAATTGCTTGTATTATTAGTTGTTTATTTAAATAATTAAAAACGATAAAGGGGGGCATGACATTCAGATACCAAAAACTATTGGCTTTCGTGGTTAGTCCTGGAAATTGGTGAGTTTTTTCGTGCTGCTAGACCGTCCTGAATCAGAAGATGGCATTGGAAAAGATTCTAATTCAATAACAACCGGAAAAAGCTGACCAGTTTCAAGGATTAGATATTTCAACAATATGTAACATATTTAATCATACTGTACTATTACTCTCCTCATTAGTTAAAAGCTCTATAACTCAGCCCACGGTCGCGCACACTATAGTTAAAATGCGATAAGGTATTCTAACATGCTAGTTGAATGGGAGTATTCACATTTGGCGTTTTGCTCAAGCTCGGCTTAAGATTTTTTACCGGGATATTTCTAGTTTGGGATATTTTGAGGTAGTGTGAACCGGTGAATTCCCAGAAAGAACCCATAAATCAAGGCACTATATAGGGAACTTATTGCACCTGAACAATTGCAACATTGAACAATTGCAGCCCAATCCATTAACGTAAATTAATCCATCTTTCAACGCCGATGTTTTTCGTCAAACTGATAAGATTAGGTTGCAGTGGCGTAGCAAGGTTAACTGGCACCCGGGGCACAATACCTTGTATTGTGCTGTGTGTTGTTATTCCTTGTTTATTCCTTATTTGTTAACCCTTGTGTTATTCTATGGCTTGCTTGCTTGAATACAACCCATTGCGGTCTTAGCTCGTGGTCGTTGGCGGTATTTTCAATAAATCCAAATTGAAAACATTCTTCATTATATTTTCGTGGC